TCTGTCTCTCTCTCTCTCTCTCTCTCTCTCTCTCTCTCTCTCTCTCTCTCTCTCCTCTCCTCCTAGTCCTAGTCTCTGAAAGATATTCTATCTTATTTCCCAAATATATTATACAGAGAATGACTATTACATTACTACTGTATAATCTTCATTAAACCATTATCATCCTTATTATATACCAGATATTTTTCTACATATACTTTGAACACATTAAGTGACTTAACCCTTGCAACATTCCTTGTTGAGTAGGAATGATCATTATTATTAATATGAAAGGAAGCAGTATATCTTTAATATATGCTATCTAGCATCATAGCAAATGAAAAAATCTCTTTAAATTTGTTTATCAAATAAAAATTGACCCTTAGTCAATAATATTTTTATATAATTTTTAATAATCTGTCTTCATCTGGAAAACCAATTTATAAGTAATACGAGGCCAAAGTAAGTTCAGGGGATTTCACATCTCTTACCAAGCTGTTCTCCTGCCTGTTCTAGCATTTCTGATTATAATCACCTTCGCTTGGCTTAGAGAAGCCAGCTATCTGGAGTCTGTTCCTTCTAGGTGTGTAACAAAGTGAATGAGTTAAGTGTGCTTCCTCCCGTTGGACACTGTGTATAAAACAATCACTAATTTAGAACCCAACCAAATAATTAATTTTCTTTATCAGCAATATAGAGTTTGGGAAAAATGATAAATATGTGCATCAGTCAGCATTTCCTAGGGAAACAGATATAATATGAGATATATAGCTACATAAGAATATACAAGATTGGCTTACAGTGGCCACCCCCAGAGTTGGATGTGGAAGCATGCAGATTCAAAAGTCTGGAGCTCACTGCAGTGTCCCCTGTGAATCTGTTTCAGGAGGCTAATGGGGCTGGGAGAAAAGCTGAAGAATCTCTGGGACAAAGGCTGAAGAGCCTACATGGGAAGGCGGTAGGATCTGCACCAGAAGCTGTGGAGTCAGTGCTGAAAGTCAACAGATGACATCCAAGGTGAAGGCAAAAACTGGAGCTCCTCTAAAGACACAGAAGCAGACCTGTCCTTCCTCATTTCCCCTAGATAAAATTCAGTGGACAAGCCCACCTAGGGCAGCCTCTTCCGTACCTAGGGTGTGGAAACGCTGATCCAATTTAGTCGAGTTTGTGTTACTTGAATTGACACAATAAACTACCACAGAGTGTCAGGCAGGAATACAATTTTTAAATAAATTTTTATTGTATTATAGCATAACGAAGTTTGAAATCTGTAGTTCACAAATTATTTGAACAAAAATTGCACCTTTTATTCCCTCTTACTCTCAATACAATTTTTTTTCAGTTACTAGAAACACTATTTTATGTTAGTTAGCACAGTTTTCATGCTTGGATTAAAGATGCCAAGATTAGAGAAGTCCTTTCCAGTCTTAATACTTGAATTACATACCTTAAATTTTTTACATTTTTTGGAGGTTTTTCCCTCACCCAAATGTCTATATTTTTAAATTTGAAAGATTTTTAGTTTTTCCTAGCTTGAGATAAAATTGCTAAAATTGTATATTATAGGCAGAATATGTTGGCACATTCTTATAATCCCAGCATCAGGGAGGCTGAGACAGGAGTACTGTTGTGAGTTCAAGACCAACCTGGG